ATAATCTGTTGATAAGTTGATTAAAAATAATCTACCGATAAGCTTGGTGCGGTGTCTACTACAAATTTTTATTTTTTTGGAAAAGTCATACCACAGCCAGAAAGCTGTCACCGCACCTAGACATGTGCGGTGTGAAAATATTATTTTCAGCGTTTTGAAAACGCATAAGCTGTCAAAACGCAGTTTACCCAAACAGGCCAGGTGTGTTTTCAAAACGCCACTGCACCAAATAAGCTGCCCCAAACAGACCCTTAATCTAAAAACATCAGGTGGAAGACCTGAGAAAATTTTTGCGAGTATCTTCAAGAGAGAACATTTTGTTGTGTAAACAAAACAATATAAGTAATAATGAAATACATTGAAACACTTTGAGCTCAAACTCAATTGAGAGGCAAGGGTGTAAAGTTCCTTAAAGACCAGAGATACCTCTCTCTCACTCAAAGTGAACATAAATAGCACGATAACACTAGTTTAAATTTACTCAAATAAAGATCGTATGGATGAAAATCAAGCAGCTTGATAATATCACTCCTTAATATGCTTGATGATGTCTCGATTATTATCATAAGAAATGAACATGAATCAAACTTAAACACTATTTTGAATCTGAGCATGTTATCATTTTTTATCAAACTCATGAATGAAAATTATATCATGGCTATATAGTAGTTTCCGTGAGAAAGAGAGAGATTAATATCATTCCATTTAATCTGAAAACGTTAGCTAGAAAACCTGCGAAAATTTTTGCAGTATCTTCAAGAGAGAACATATTGTTGTGTCTGTAGACAAATGGGTTAGAAATAGTGATAATAAAAAATTTACTCTCAAATAAGACGAAGAGATCATAAATTAAGTGATCTTTTGCCAAATTTTTGCAGTCAGTGATACGTATATCAACGCGAATATCAAAGCATATAAAAGGTATGATGAAACACATATTTTCCACAAATCTCATTAGATAAAGTAACATATTTAGCATGAGCAACAAAGAAGACCATGACAGAAAAAATGGACAAAGATTGTCCATTGAATTATTCTCAATATAGAGCATATGCTAGCCATGTACCCTTAAAGGACCCGAAAAATGCAACTTGAGAGAAAAAAAATATAGTCACCATCATAAAGCCCGAGCTATGTTCTTGAACTCATTCAAACAAGTCCGTAAAATCTTTTCTCGCTTTTGAAGAGATAGCCGTTCGCTTTGAAGGACATCAATTGCACTAGGTGCTACAAACATGTCCATAAATTTCTCATCTGTCACAGCAAAGAGTTCCAAACCAAGTGCCACTATCAATCGTTCCCGGCTACAGATCAAATGAACATCAAAATACAGATTTATTAGATATTTACTAAGTTGATAATTCACAGTACTACTATATTAAGTCATATGAAACTAATCCTTCTATCAGTTTTAGAAACATACCATGGAGTCAAGAAACCAGAATTTAAGGCTGATGAAACACTTCTTTCAATCAGAACCTCACGAATTCGTGCAAAGTGCTGAGCTGCCAAAGAGCAAATATCAATATAAGATGACCCAGATTTAGCTATATCAACAAACAGAAGGCCAGAATTCTGGTTTCTGATGGCATCTGAATTCCTTCCAGTGTTTACAGTTCTAGCTTGGCGTTTTCTTCCACCCACATCCAAACAGTTCCCATTCTCCTTCTTCCTAACCCCTAAAACAGCTGCATCGATAGGCAGATCTGGCGAAGGTGTCTCAGGAATTGTCATCTGACTCTCTTTCAGTGCCTCCATGGACTCCATTTTTTTCCCAGGTGTTTTGTTCTGTAGATTTTTAGGTGGCACATTTTCCTGATCCATCTCTTCTTGTACCCCTCCGGGGTCTGACAGATCAAGGAAGTATGAGATGCTTTGAAGCTGGTTGGATGTAGAATATGGGCTTGAACCAGAGCGAATCCCACCCATGAAGTCAGGTTCATAGCAGACTTGAGAGTATGGGCTAGTTACAGAATCAAGGTGGTGTCGCACTAGTTGCTTGCAATGCTTAGAGAGATCATTAACAAAGCTATGGTATGAGCGCCTTAGAGCAGCATGAAATCCAATGTATCCATCCATATCCCCATTTTTTTTCCAATCTATATGACAATACAATTACAAAGTTAAAATGATGACATGAAAATGATGCAAAATCTTAAGAAAACTACAAATTTAATATGCTTACAGTCAGAGTCATGATTGCGGTTTCGTTCTGCTGCCAACTCAAAGAGACACCTCAAAACGAAAGCAAGACGTTCACAAGCTGTATCAAGAATAGGAGCGAACCATGCTCGTGCAGCCGCGCGGGCTATCTCGGCCGCCGCCTCCACTACTCCACCGCCACCGCCTCTGCCAGCATGTGCAAGCAAAATATTTGCAACCTGGCTCATAGTTATTGAGGCTGAATCAAACTTCTAGTAACATACAAGAGCAAAGATGAATTCACAAATAGATAATAGCCTATACACTACCTTCTCCCTCGAAACCGGCGGGCATTCAATGGAGTATGTAGCACACCGAAACTCATGCATTACTCTCTCAAACGCCGCACCGCCGTATAATCTAAGATTACAATTTGGAGGCTTCACAGCCGTATTGACACCAGGCCAACTCCCAAAACCACTCTCTTGCTGCTCTTCAACACTTGATTTCCCCCATTGCTCAGGAGCAGGATCTGCTGCACCATCTATCAATGCACCCTTCAAAAAAATTTAACATTTTTTCAACAAAATTTAATTTTTTTTTTCAACAAGAGGTGGAAATAGAGGCAAAACAAGAAGGGGGAATTACAAAGCCTTCATACCACATGTGTGCAGATAGAAGCTGTGTGAAGCATTGCAGACTTCCGAAGGTGGGAGATATCAGAAGTGGCCTGTAACTTGTACTCTATTCTACCTAACTCAGAAGAGACTTCACTGCAACGCTGCTCTAGTAATGCTAGTGTTGCTGGAGCAGCTTCTTTGTACCTCTTCTGGAGTTCGCATTCCAAAAATTTTCTGAGAGAACCAAAACCAATAAACGGTTCAAATTTCTCTTCGTTAAATCCTCCTTTTACATTCTGGCGTAGATGATGAAGGATGTCTATGTCCACCTGAGAAATTTGCCTGCGAAACTCCTCGTTAGTAACCGTTCCCCTATCTTTAGGAAGCGCCACAAAAAAAGGGTGAATGTTGTCTCCAAGATAGCCACTTGCGCTCAGGTAGCGATCAACTTCCCAGCTCTCATTGAACTCCTGCACGCATTTTCATCACCTTTATTAAGGCTCAGATATCAGCTTAAAAAACAAGGATTGCTCAAAGATAGAGTCATTTTTGGCTTGGATCAAGTGCAAACCAAGTCAAACAAGCCAATTTACGGGCGAAATTTTGAGTAGGGACTGAATAGAATCGAGCAATGGAGATCGGCTAAGTTACAAATATTAGGCATATACCTGTACATATGAATACTTGAACACATATTTCTGTTTCTATTTTGATTTGAATGAACACTTATATGTACTTATGTAAGTTAAACCAAGAGGTTGTTTGGGGCAGTTGCAACTGATTGAAGAAGTAGCTGTGAAGTTGTTGTAGAAGTTGTTCAAGAGGCTGCGAAGACTATTACAAATATTTTTTTTTTCAAAAAATTAAATTACAATTTTTTGGTAGGCACCGAATTTATCCATAATAGACACATTTTTCCCACCACAGTTTCTTGAAAAAGCAGCCAAAAAATTGTTTCCCCAAACGCCCAAACGGTGCGGTCAAGACCAAAGATAGATTTACTAAATCCAAGAAAAATTATCTTTTTTTTTTCTATCTGGCAAAAATCCAACTTAAAATATTACAAAACAGACTCTAAGAATTTGTATCGAGAGATTGGAAACTAATCCATATCAAATTGATGTTAATAAGCCATGTCTGGTTCAAAACGAGCCAAACATTAACAAAAATTAGCTCAGCTTGAGATTGGAGAAAATAACTTCAATGTGATGCTAAGCTAGAGTCGAATTGAGTTACCGGACCTAAGCCTAAGCATGCAACATTTGAAAATAAAGAAATTTGAAAAAGATCATGAATTATATACCTTCAGGCGGTTGTCAAACTTGGATACAACAATTATGGTTCTTTTGAAAGTGGGGTCAATTTCCCTAATAGAATCTAACCACAGAGAAGAGCACCATTCAACACTGCTCTGTTGAAGGAACAGGAGAAGGCGGTGTGGTGGACTGGCCAAAGCTTTCACCATTGATAAAATCTCATCAGGTGTATTTTCTGGCTCACCCTTCTTCGCCTGCAAAAAGAAAGTTTAATGCAAATAATAAAAAAAAAAAACATAGAATGCATCTTCCCTTTCATGGATTTAGTTAAAAGAATCACCTTTAGAACAAAACCAGGAGTGTCGATAATGGTGAGATTGGGGCAGTGAGCATACTCAGCTCTCATGACAATTGGCTTCGAAGAAACTGCAGCATTCATCTTCCTCAGGTGTGCCTCAGTGCGTGATCGGATTAGATCCGCAATAGCCGTACCTGAAACCACTGAACCTCCGTACTCCTCCGAATCCTCGTCCTTAAAGAACCCAGTGAATTCAAGTTCAGTAACTCAACAAAACCCACAATCCATGAAAAAATTTCAGAAAAAAGAATCAAACCCTAAAAATGGGCCGCATTCCAAGAACTTAACAGGAATTGCAACCCTAGATCTAATAAACATTGAAAAACCTAATAAACTTAAAGAAAGAAACCTGGAAGCGACATCGGGGCTCGAGGGACGACGGATCGTGGACCATCTGGAGGACGAGAGGGCGACGCGTGCCCATCTCGACCTCGCGGACATTGAAGCGGAAGCCGAGCAGGGCTTCGAGGAGCGAACTCTTTCCATCGGATTGGCCGCCGATAGAAAAAAA